GCGTCGTATGATGCTTTGAATCACTCTATTTTGTAACACACCCACACCCTGAAGATAAATCATTTCATTTCATTGTCTTTTAGTTAGTCGTCTTGCATCTCATGAACTCGCTCGACGTCAACATGGAGTTTATACTTTCGATGCACTGATGCTGATGAATAAGTACAATTATTCCGATGGATTTAGTTTATCTGAACAAGATGCTGATGAATTAGCTTCACGATTACAGGTAGGCAAATCAATTATTACTTTCAATGCGCAACGACTTCGTAGCATCTGTCATATGCTCTTCTTGCATTTCATGAATCATTTCGACGATATGTTCTATGTAAGAGTGATGTTGCTCTAAAAGAACCAACACTCAATTCGAAACAAATGGCTATGGCATTGGAATTCTATTTACAAATCGATGGTTAGTCTTCATGTCGATATATATATATGATGCATATATGTTTCATATATTTTAGTGGATTTATTCTATATGAAAACTTGTTCGTTTCGAGGAGCTCAACCTCCATCTAATATAGAAGGTCTATTTTGTGGAAGAGATGAACCTCAAGCAAGATATTCATTGGTTCCATGTGATAATCTTTTTTGTCAATGTTGTCTTCCATTAAATACTTACAAGAAAAGTCAATCATGGCCAATTGTTAATTTTGCTTCAAGTTCAATGCATCGATTTCTCAATGGTTATACTACCTATCTCAATTGTCCAGCAGTACGTTATCCTTAAATATTGAATTTTATATCGATCGGCTATGAGTAAAATTTAGACATGTACTACATCGAATATAATTTATGCCATGACATGTCCATGTGGTCATTATGATTATGTTGATTCAACAGCAAAAACATTGGTTGATGCTATGGCTTGTAAATATAAGTTTTCTTACGATAATCATGAGCATGCCTTTATTTCTCTTCTTCATTTTCTTATAATATTACAGATCATCGAGAACATGGCAATCGAATTATACATGAAAAATTAACTGGCAGTCCTCTATTTCGAGGATCACAAATCGATCCTGACGAGAGAGAGTAATAAAAGACATTCGATCATTCTTTCGATTATGCTACACATATTCTTTGTTTTCTTTTTCATTCATTGTTGTAGAAAAGAAATGGCTAATCAAATGCGTCTCTATCAACATGCAGCTCGTTGTCCAGAAGCACTCCGCTCATTTCTTGATTGTAATCCTATGTATTGGTGTTTTATTCCTCTACCTGTGAATGAAGCAGCAACAGAAAATGCTGCTAATCGTCCAGGAAATTCTACTACAGATCCCAATCTGGATGCTGTGATAGCAACTACTGCCGCAGACAATCGTAGGGTGGCTAATTATCTAGATAATGTACCATTACCACCAACTCCCTATGCCTTCTCATATCGACAGATAAAACAACAGCGTCTATTTTTCGAACGACTTGTTACTTCTTCCATTCATTACCGGCCTTATATCAAATTAGATTTGTATAACATAGCAATCATTGCCGTTTGTAAGTAAATCTACCTTTATCAACCACATCATCATTCTCATCATTATCATTTATACCTGTTTTTCTTTCATATTGATTTAGTACCAAATGATTGTTCTATGATACTACGATACATCATCGAAACATTATTCATTATTCATGGTGAAACTAAATTAAATATGATTTGTCCACTTGGTGGTAATACTGAAAAACGTTACGGTCGTCCGTATAACCTACATTGGTGTGATAATTTGAATAATTCATCAATGTAAACCACGACATCAACTCAGTGACCTTTTAAAACTACAATGGTCACTATTATAAAATAACATTTAATCAATATAAGCAACTTTATTTACCTCGTAGATAATAGTTAATCTTTAGTGTTTGTAATCTGTGTGCGAAATAGTTAACCTTACATTAATGAAATATATTTGTGCACTTCTTCTAATATCATACTCATATATAGTTTCATTCTAGATAAGTATAATTCTGGACGCACAATTACTAGTTTCCTACTCAACTGAACAAACTCATGACATTCTCGTCATAAATCAAGCCATATCACTACCAAATACACAACAACTCAACCTAGGTTCGCTCAACGTCGATATAGATTATCAGACAACGACTTGACGGAAACTAAACATCAATCGATACTCCAAAAACTTATCTCCATCAGCTCTGCATTAGCTATCAAAATTGCGACAATATTACATCGGGAATATTATTCAGGATAAACAAACATCCTCACCGAAATACAAATAAAAAAACAACACTTATGGATACAATTGCCAGTCCCTTCGAAAACGAACTCACCTATTTCAAACACTCACCAGATTATCCCTAATAAAACACTACAACTACTAGCACTAATAAACAATTTCACATACTGCTACTTCATAAAACTGCTCGCCATTTCCATTAATCCATCCAAGTCGCAATAAACAATCTACATGACTTCTACACTATCGAAACAACAAACGTCAAAGCGAACACTTAAACTTCCAATAAACATAAATCTTCCGACAGAACACGCTACGATACTTTTCCATACACTTACAAACATCTATTCCCTCCCAAAACGAATCTCTCCAAGCCACAGACATCACATCTACTGTGTCATAATAATGCCGAAAAACTTACGCCGAATACCCATCTTTCAGATTCGAAACCATTACACTCCAAATCGTAGCAGCATTAACCACACCATAATTTAATAAGAAAACGGCGATTCAGATCTATATCTTACTTAAAAATTCCATATCACAAACAACCAATTCTTCACCCTCCGTTAAATTAAACATTATTAAACTATAACATCTTCAACTCCGACTTTCCACTTGAGCTTCCGCAATGCAATCGCCCAATTCTCCAAAGAAAACAACAAATCATTTCACAAACACCATCCAACATATTACTACTCTCGAATAACAAGCCTATAATCAATAACCCTCCTACCAAATACACACAACATATTAAACCGACCGCATGCTATTCTAACTACAACTATGACACCGTTTCCTGCATTTACTTTCACTATTTTCATACTCACCATTCTAACTCGACTCCGTCCACTTCAAGAAAACATTTTTTTTACCATTATTGAAATACAAAATTTGTAGTATGGTAACTGTAACACACTCCTCTAGGTGTTTGTCGAAATTCTTCGTCGAGTTTCGATTTTGTATCTTGTTTATGATTTGAATTTCTCTTAAATTCAGATCATTCTATAACAGATACACTGCCACTTGATAATATTTATTAGTATTATTGAAATACAATTTGTATTGTAGTAACTATACACACCCTTCAAGGTGTTTATCGAAATTCTTTTCGAGTTTCGATTTTGTATCTTGTTTTTGATTTAAATTTTCTTAATTCGAATCATTTTATAACAGATACATGCCACTATTTGTATTGTGGTAACTGTAACACACCCACCCACATCTACACTACATATTATGTATCCTTCACATTTTCCACCTTCGACGAGAGAAAGATATCAAACACTCAGTCATAAAATACGATGTACCTTTGCGTTACATACGAATATTTTTAATAATTTAGGATAAATATCCACGCACACCCAATTGCATTACCAGAAATAACTTCTATCATATTTCGAAAACGGCAATATAAAATAATAATAAAGATATTTGAGTCATTTTGAAATAGCAATCGCTTACTCTAATCTCTATTACTTTCTATATTCTCATTCTGGCTGCTTATCTAGTTTTGACATGCTTTCCACTATCATATGCTACGCACAAACAAAATCAAAAAAAAATCAGGCCAACATTGTACTACATTAAAAAAAATGATGACAAACTACTACTGGTAAGAAAAAACTTTTAATCAATAGAAAAACATTCCTAGTCTAACGCAATTTTTTCTTTCATTTTAATTTATCTACACGAAGCGTCACAGACACATTGCACAAAGCACCTTGACAACTTAGTCCTCTTCCCTAATCCATTGTATCTCTGAAACAAGAATCGTCAGTAAATTCAAAAAACTCTAGTTTTGTGGTAACTCTACACACTCGTTTGAGTGTTCTTCAATTTTTCTTCCTTTGCGTTGAAAAATTTTAATGTATTTTGTATTTGGTTTGAAAATTTGCTTTCAAATTTTCGGATCATTCATATAGGTACTTGTCACTTGACAAGAATCGTAAGTAATTTCGAAAAACTCTAGTGTTGTGGTAACTCTACACATCCATCTATTGTGTCATTTTCTGTTATTGTTTTAAATTGTTTTATATTAACTGTAAGGAGATATTAATCTATGTCGTACTATCATAATCACTATTACTTTGATCCCAATTCAAAAATTACATTCTAGATTGAATTGATTATCTTTCAGACTATATTATTCATGGCAGAAGAACGAAAGCAAAATTCAACTTTCGATGAAATCGATAAATTACTTGACGATGAAGAATTTTGTCGAGCAGTAGAAGCATTGAATGACGATGCAGGTAAATATGAAAACTGAAATGAAATTTATTGCAAAAATGTCTAATTATTTTCAATTCTCTAAACAAGACATTACTGTTCACTCATCAACACAGACGACACCGGATCCTTTAAATACTGCTTTTATTGAGGTACGACGTACCATTTGTTTATTCAAAATAGACGTAAAAAAGAACATTTTTTTTCTAATATAAAATAGGATACCAACCTCAATGAACGTCAACAAGGTAATTTATCTCAACAACAAGGTAATTTATCTCAACAACAAGATAGTTTATCTCAACAACAAAGTAAAAATTATTTTTAAGAAAAATTTCATTATCTAATTATCGATTCAATAGGCCAAACTATAAATGATGCATCAGCCATCCTTCGTGAGTTGGCAGAGATAACGACTGAACATGAACATGAACGGATCGATCAACCTTTACCAACAACAACAGCAGCAGGAAACTTGGTCGAAACAGTTGATCTATCACCATCAACATCTCGTACGATCGATCTATGTACACCGACACCAAAAACAATGGATCTTTCTACACCTGCACCAATTACGATCGATTTAGATTCACCTCAAATACCATCCAATACTAACACTACGGACTCACCACTTCATTTAAGTCCAAAATAATACTTTGTTTGTTTTTTCTTTCCCGTTTTTTTTGCCCCATTCTCCATTATCCTCTTCCGATAACTTCTCGTTTATTACATAGCTAGTTATTTCCTTCGTCCAATTCATTTTTGTCCTTTTGTTCTAGATGATTAATTACCATATATAGTTTTGATCATGACTGATCATAATGATTCGATCAAAATCAAAGTAATGACGAAAATGTCAAGGTGTTCTATTCATACATTTATCATTTCATTTTTATTTTTGTATATTATACTATGACTCGTCAGTGTCAACTCATCAGAGTCAACAAGTGGATACTAACATTTGAGTTCAATTGATAAAATAACAAAAGCAGAGATTTGGCGACATTCACTATCAAGAAATCAATCAATCTCTTGAACACACGACTACAATTAGTTGACTTAATCACCAAGAATTAAGGCAAATATCTATACTCATTTATCAAAATACAAAGATTTACAAGGCGAAAAATTGTTATCGACAACATGCTCCAAATTTGCCACTTGATAAGAATTCTTGTAAATTC